TGCTTCAAACACTCTACTATCATCCCAGTGCCGAAGAAGCCCTCCATCAAGGAACTGAATGACTTCAGACTGGTTGCTCTAGCATCTGTAGTCATGAAAACCTTTGAAAGGCTAGTGCTGGCCCACCTGAAAACCATCACGGATCTGCTTTTAGACCCCTTGCAATTTGCCTTCCAAGTAAATAGATCAACAGACGATGCTGTTAATATGACTCTGCACTACCTCCTACAACATCTTGAATCTCCAAAGACCTACGCAAGGGTCCTCTTTGTAGACTTCAGCACAGCATTCAATACCATCATTCCAGATATTCTTCTAAGCAAGCTTAATCAGCTAGCTGTACCTGTTCACACTTGTAAATGGATCAAAAGCTTCCTAACAGACAGGAAGCAGCAGGTGATACCTGTACAATTAGCACAGGAGCCCCCCAAGGCTATGTGCTTTCTCCACATCTCTTCTCTCTGTACACCAATGACTGCATCTCAAACGATCCATCTGTTAAAGTTCTGAAGTTTGCAGATGATACAACAGTGATCGGTCTCATTCGAGACAACGATGAATCCGCATACAGACGGGAGGTTGAACAACTAGCCTTGTGGTGCAACCAGAACAATCTGGAACTGAACACACTCAAAACTGTAGAAATGGTGGTGGACTTTAGGAGAAACCCTTCCATACTTCCATCTCTCACAATACTAGACAACACAGTATCAAGAGTAGAGACCTTCAAGTTTCTAGGTACTATCATATCTCAAGACTTAAAATGGATACCGAACATCAAAAATGACATCAAAAAAGCACAACAAAGAATGTTCTTTCTGCGCCAACTCAGGAAGCTCAAACTGCCCAAGGAGCTGCTGATTCTGTTCTACAGAGGAATTATTGAGTCTGTCATCTGCACCTCCATAACTGCCTGGTTTGGTTCTGCAACCCAACAAGACAGACACGGACTTCAGAGGATGATTAGAACTGCAGAAAAAACAATGGCTACCAGCCTGCTTTCCATTGAGGACCTGTATACTGCAGGAGTCAAAAAGAGGGCTGTGAAAATATCTACAGACCCCTCGCATCCTGGACATCAACTGTTTCAACTCCTACCCTCAAAACGATGCTATAGAGCAGTGGTCCCCAACCTTTTTATCGCCGCGGCCCGCGCGCAGGGGTGGGGGCACGGCCCAGGAGCTTTTGCGCACGGCCCATTGCGCACGGCCCAGGAGCTTTTGCGCACGGCCCAGGAGCCTTTGCGCTGCAGCGTTCATGTCCCCCGGCCGCTGCGCGGCCCGGTGCCAGGTACTCCACGGCCCGGCACCAGTCCGCGGACCGGGGGTTGGGGACCACTGCTATAGAGCACTGCACACCAGAACAACTAGACACAAGAACAGTTTGTTCCCGAACGCCATCACTCTGCTAAACAAATAATTCAACACTGTCAAACTATTCATTAAGTCTGCACTACTATTAATCTTCTCATCATTCCTACCACCCATCTCCTCCCACTTATGACTGTAGGACTGTAACCTTGTTGCTGGCAGCCTTATGATTTATATTGACTGTTTCCTAATATGATTCAATTGCTTATTTGTACCCTATGGCTATCATTACATGTTGTACCTTATGATTCTTGACAAATGTATCTTTTCTTTTTATGTACAAAGAGCTTATGCACCAAAGACAAATTCCTTGTGTGTCTAATCACACTTGGCCAATAAAGAATTCTATTCTATTCAAATTGTACTTCTGAGAAAACATGTTATAATAAAAATGGTCATTACAAAAGTAAAAGAAAATTGATTTAGTAAGGGTGGGCTGTTCTTTTTTTAAATACACTTTCAGTTCTCACTAAGAAATGGGTTGGAGTGAAATTTATCAGAAACCCTTCAATTGGGAAAGAAAAAAATGAAGTTATCTAAATTCACAACTGTCTTTTTCATTTAAAAAAGACTTACTAATGCCATATCCAAATAACCCTGATTTTCTGTTTTGTTCCAAAATCCATGTCTCATGGTGTGCCATTAAAGTTTACAGAAGATTCTGACTGCTAAGCAAAGAATTTATTAGAAAACTTAACACAATTTCTTACAGATTAACCCCCCCCCGAATGTTTATTGTTACGTTAATCAGTATAAAAATGCACACACCATACCTAAACACAGATTTAATAAAAATCACCATCCTTTCATACCTTATTAATTCCTTTCCTTTCTCAGGATTATTATCCATGTATTATATAACACGTTTTATAATCCAGCAATATTTGTGCAGTAACCAACCAGCTTAGACTTTTAAGATGCTGTTTCCTATTTGTAACATTGCAATATAAAAGCCACAAGTAAGACATTATTAATCAAGGAAATTCATAGAACTTTCTTAACATTTTCAAATTACTTGCCTTCAAGATATCTCAATTCTACATCCCCTTTAGACCTTGCTAAGAATTATGGAAGCTGAAATTTAACACATGTAAGCTAAGGAAACTAATTTAGTTCTATGTTTACATTAAGATAGGTTGCAATTCTACCTAATTTGTCTTCTATATGTCAGTAGTATCTAAATGAAAATATTTAGACTTTGAAAATAGATTCACTGATTTCAAAAGGTATTTTGGCCCTTACGTCTGAGATCCAAATATTAAACGTCAATTCAGAATTTGTCCTAACCTGTTGAAGTTTTAAACATTTCAGAAACAGAATTAAATATTTATTTTAATGATGTAGCTTTCGATCATTTTCCTCCATAAATAAATGAGCATCACTGTAGGCGCTCCTACACAATTATTGTTTTTAGGGGTATTTTTAAAAGATGTTCCGAAACATGATGGGAATGGGTTGTATATAAATAACTACGTGTAACAAGGTGTTGTATTTTGCTGTCTCTGCTACAACATCTCTAGCAGAATCAAAAATCAAAGAAATTAAATTTCGAGAAGCCCTTCTGGAGAATAAATGACATTTTTCTCAAATCAACAAACCAACCATTTAACTACAGAAGTCAGATTCCATTATCACTGAACTGGTAATTTATTCCACCGCATTTTCTGCAAAACACAGTCAAACATTACATTTTTTTTTATAAAAAAAATTCTCGTTTGAAATGGTTCTTTCTGAACATTAAAAAAAAAAAAAGGTAAGTGAAAAAAAACAAGGTGACTTGAAGACTTGTGTACCAAATAATTTTGACAAAATCCGCTCTGTATTTCCAACTGCCCACTGTACATTGTAGAATTAAATTAACCTCTGCCACCAAACAAATGTTTGCCATAGGAGAGTTGCTAAAATTCATTTGCCACTCAGAAATTACTCGAGCCACTGCTAATTATAAATCAAAGGATTCCTTAAGAGAGTCCATAACGCCTTTTGCCAGGATGGTTAAAGGATATACAGAGGAAGTTGATGAAAAGAGTGAGCAAGCTATATAAACTATATTGGGAGTCATTTTGCATTGGTTGAGGGGGTCCTTGGTGGTCTCTGAGCTTGGCTGTTTCCTTGCAGCCGTTGATGGAGTCGGTCAGTGTGCTTCGGTGGTCAATACAATTGGATGTTTTCGAAATATATCAGTGTTATCCTTCTCACAGCTCGTGTTGCTTTTACAGGGAGTCCTCGACTTATGCCCACAATGGAGCCCACAATTTAAGTTGCTAAGTAAGAAAATTTATTGAGCGTTGCCCCACGTTACGACCTCTCTCTCCACATTTGTTAAGCGAATCACTGCAGTTCTCAGTCAGACGGTCGTTAAGCGAATCCGGGCTTCCCGGATTCGCTTAACAACCGTCTGACTTTGCTTTGTCAGAAGGTCGCAAAAACGGATCGTGTGACTCCGGGACACGGTGGCCGTCCTAAATGTGAGCCGGTTGCCAAACATCCAAATGTAAATCACTTGACTGCAGGGGATCCTGCAATGGTCATAAGTGTGGAAAATGGTCATGTCCCTTTTTTCAGTCCTGTTGTAACTTCGAACTGTCACTAAACGAACTGTTGTTAAGTCGAGGACTTCCTGTACTGGTCATGGGTCGAGCAGGGAGGCACTCTTCGATAAAGTTTTGTGGGTATCTGATTTTGAGAGAGAGAGGGGGGGGAGAGGGGGAGAGAGAGAGAGAGAGAGAAAATGCCATTCTGTTCTAGCTCTGATTATGTGACCTAGCTGGGTAATGAAATGTCTGCACGAAAACAGTTGAAGCTTAGACAACACCAAGGTGCCCTGACTCCCCGGCCAGTTCAACCCTGAGCTATAAATATTCGCTTCTATTTGCATTGATTTCCTACGTGTAGGAGTAGTACGAGTTTCAATAATGATGTATTCTCAAGTGGAGAAATACGGAATAGGAACCAAAATACATACAAACTCCCATATATATTGCTGCCGTTTCTCTCAAAATGGCACACCACCTCACATGTGAAACGTTTTGTGTTTTAAAATTATATAATCAAAATTTAAGGACAAGTTCACAATGTGCAAGAGTGTAATACCAGATTATTGCATACAAAAAAAATAAAATAAAAAGGTTAAAATCCAACCACCAAAGAACACAAGTAACGGTAGCTATCTTCACTCAAAAAGTCCTGCTGCATGTATGAGATCGTTCAGAATAACTTCTCCATTTCAGGTTCATTCATTCTTTAAAAACTGTAAGCACAAGAAAAGGTTCTTATTGCAAAGGTGCCTGTTACAATCTCTTTTTAAGACATTTTTATACATAAACCTAACCAGATTAGAAAACAGGTTTTCAGTAAACGCTTCCAGAATCAGAAACGTTTACTGTATATGTGCAACTGTTAGCAGGAAGAGGTATTCATTTGACCTGTTTTCATGGTGTTTGAATAGTCACATTTTACATTATGATACTGGGAATTAAACACTATATTGCTTTAGATGAAAAATAAACCCCTTTTTTTAAACTTAGTGGTAGTTAATTTAAAGGTAGCAACCTGATTTAAATGCTTTGCTCTCACTTCCCAGTAGTTTAGGCATAACAGTTAAAAAGTCATCCACTTGCACAAGAGCAATAAAAAAATTAAATATTTATTCAAATAATAAGCTTAAGTTCAGGCTGCAAAGTTGGCAACGTAGCTTTTAAACACATCACAAAAGCGTGCACAAGAATGTAGGCCGAACAAAAATACTAAGCATCATACTAAACAGCCGGTTTTAAGAAAAGCAAAAAAAATATATATATAATCACTATACAAAATATAAAATGTATTAAACACTACCATCCACAGAACAGGGTTTTTTTTTTTAAATTGGTTATATTTTTAAAATTATTTGTGTAATTATATAGTGAATTGCAAATGATTATAGAATACCCTCCCCGTCAGTTGGCAATATTTCTGCTGCTCCTCAGCACACCCCCATCCCGCTGAAAACTGATTTATGCCGTCCATACCTTCAATAAAAAGGAAATGATTATTGGTAATACAAAGTAAACATTGTCTGAGCTAACAAAATGACTCCTTCCTTCACACTCTGACGTGCTCTCCGTTGAAGGCAGCACTTGTGTGGGTTCCGTGAACAGACTGTACTACCACACTAAGTCCGAGGCCGTAGATTTTCACAGAGAAGACGACTGAACTGTATAAATGAAAAGACGGAACGTAGGTAGACATGCAACCCTCTTTGCTTCCGGGTTCAGCTCCTTGTGCATCAAAATTTTTATTGCCTTTTGGAATTTCATTCAAGGCATCCAAAATTAGAGCTAGTGATAAATATACATATAGCCTCAAAAAAAAAAATATTTTTTTTATTTATTTAAAAAAAAAAGACGACACAAACTGCATTTGATACCACGGTGGCTAATGCCGGACGCTACGTGAAAGCACCTTTTAAGAAAAGAGCCCGTGCGGCGAGAGATCAGTGTCTAAAGATTCAAAATGAATCAACCGTATTGGATAACAATATCATTCTCAACTCAGAAGCTGCCTCGAGATAGGAGCATCTTCAGTTCATGTAACAGGAAAAAGGGGAAGAAAAAAAAAAAAAGGAAAAAAGGCAAGGGGGTTAAATTCACTCCCTCCAACCGACCTAAGGCCACCAGATTTGCAGACACAATGTGTTTCTTCTTCTTTTTTTTTTTACACAGTTCTTTAGGCTGTAAGATGATAAAGGAAATAGATCTATTTTTTGTTTTGTTTTTTTAAAAAATGAAACAAACAAAAACAAAACAAAAAAAACCAAAAAAAAAGACAGAACTATTTCTTCTAGGATTAAGAAGCTGCCCCGGGTGTGGGGTTTACGTTCTGAGTAGCTACTTGGGGCGCGACTTCGATGATTCGAGGTTTGTCTATAATCCTGGCAGTGCGGTTTCCCTTTTCTACAATCCCAATAATCCATGCTTGGTGACCTTCGCCGTATTTTGGAGACTTGATCTCAGCGCAGAAACGTGCTGCTTGTTCCCGGGGTAAACAGATAAGGAGGCCTCCTGCAAAAGGAGAAGGGACGGCATTAGCTCTCGTTCACGGGTCAAATCAAAGTTGCTGCCTGGCTTACTCGGATTTTTAACCGTTATCTACTGATTAGACTTCGCAATAATCTAGACAGGCCTTTAGCAGCGGGATGAAAAAGGATAGGATGGAAGTGAACAGGGAAAAATGTGAAGTGAGCCACTAGGTCAAAGTAGCTGGTAAAAAGGCAAATGCTGTCTTGGGATGGATTAATTCAACGTGAACTCCAAATCATTTACAGTATAATTATTCCATTCTAATTCTCCCTGATCAAACCCTGTTTGCAATTCTAAATTGGGTTCTGTGCATAACAGTTCGAAAAGGACAGTGACAAATTGGAGAAAATCTTGAGCAAAGCCACTAAATTGAATGGTATAGAATCCAAACCCCATCAGGAAAGTAGGTAGAAAGAATGCCGATGGCATATTTTAATACCAATTCCTCATGTAATTTAATACAATTTAAATTTATAATTTAAAGATTTAATGGCAATGCCTATTCATCCAGTAAGCACCCAATTCAAAGGAATGTAAACTATCACCTTTGATCATTCTGAAGTGTGGACAATCTACTATTATAGCTTTAAATGCAAAGTGATTTTAACACACAGTGTGGAAAAAAAAGCAATAATTAGGAATTTGTTTTGCGTGGCAGAATTTCTGACTTGAACAACATTGCTTCTTATGTGTATATAGCCAAATCCACATCTGTCAAATTCAGATTTTTTTTTTCAGCACAGGTTTCCAAGATACAGTCTAGTTGTTTTGGGTTATCTGGGTTATCCATTAACCATTTACAAGAATCTCTAAGGAGCCTTTTTTTAAGCAACACAATGACCACAGTGTGGCATGGCCATCTTGGGATAATGTGTTGCACACATTTTCTTTCGTAAGTATTCTATTTGTAACAGGACATCGAAGATAGTATCTTCCATTATGAAAATTCAGTTGATCTGAAAGGTATTTTTTACCTAAGTATTTTTCACACACTGCAGAACAAGAAATCGGCTTCACTATATAAATTTGATCTATCAATAAATAAAAAAGTTAAATTCTAGCACTGGAATAAACAAGAATGGCCAGGAACAAAATTGCTAGGATTTTGATAAGGAAGCACTAATATTATTCCAGTTGGTAAGAATCACAAGCTGAACTACACACGCAAGAGGCATTGGTGGAAGCTCTGACATTTCACTGGCATTCTGGATTGCGTATGCTTCGTTTTTATGTATTTATTTTTATGTCATCCGCTCTCTCAATTGTGCCTGTTACTGAGGAGCCCTTTGCAAAGAAAACCTGGATATTTTAAAAAATCTTTTATCAACAAATATATGGCCTAGAAGTCATGTTCACATTTCTTTAATGCTTCTCTATTTTAGTTGCATAGATAGATTGAGGTCTCTGCCCTGACTCTAGCTATTGAACCAATAGGCCAAGGGAAGGAAACCTACATGGTAACAGAATGAGGAGTGTTCTTTCTTTGTTAGCTGTCTAGACGTTTTATTGCTTTCATCTCTGACCCTATTAAGGAAGCTACAAAGCACCGTTATGAGGATTGGCATGGCCGTGCATTCTGAAGACTGACTCTTGGAGCAGCTGATATGATTGCCGGATTTCAGTGTGAAGGGAATAGGGCGATCTATTCCAGACATGTTTTCAGAGAGGGTCTGCATCTAATGAGGAGAGAGATCAAATTTCCTAGTGTGGAAAGCCAATTCATATTCTTCTCCAGAGAAGAGTGAATTCCTATTGGAGAGAGATTAAGGGGAATCCTGGGAGTTGAAATCCACCCATCTTAAAGTCGCTAAGGTAGCAGAAAAAAGGGAAAGAAATAGATTGAAAAATTAAATGTGTGTGTGTGTGTGTGTGTGTGTGTGTGTGTGTGTGTGTGTATACACACACACACTATAAATATTACCTGATGTTTCCGGACAAGTCCCATGCATAAGACCAAACATATTCCCACAAGCTTTGCTAACTGCAGCCATTTTGGCAAGAACGGGGAGGTTGTGGATAACGAAGGACACTTCATTGCGTTGCTGCTTTGCTAGATTCTGTGCGTGTCCCAGGATTCCAAAGCCTGTGATGTCCGTGGCTGCATGAGCATTGAACGTATGCATGAGCCCTGCAGCTTGAGAGGAGAGAGAGAGAGAAAAACGGTTACGCAACTTCAGAATTCAGCCTATCTCTCAGTATTCAATCAGAGTTTACATTTCAAGCTCCCTTCAAATAAAGTTGAAGAAATGGTGTAGGGCCTCCTACTTGGGTGGACTAGGTGGCCTACAAGGTCCCTTCCAATTCTGTTAAAGTTAACTAGAATAAAACTTCTTCAAGAAGGAAAAAAACATACATTCCTGCATATGGACAATCCATTCCTATCTCCTTTTGGCAAAGTCAATATCATCCCGTCTCAGAAAATGTATAGATTAAATATATATATATATATTTCCAATTTCAGTTAAGACTGGGATAGCCCTGCATTTTCTGAAAACGCATCTTTGAAATGTTTTTTTTTTTTAATATGCCGCCCTTCTCCGGAGACTCAGGGCAGCTTACAATGCGTTAAGCAATAGCCTTCATACTTTTGTATATTTTATACAAAGTCAGCTTATTGCCCCCACAAACCGGGTCCTCATTTTACCCACCTTAGAAAGGATGGAAGGCTGAGTCGACCTTGAGCCTGGTGAGAATTGAACTCGCAGTAATTGCAGGCAGCTGGATGTTAAATGCTGCCTTAGTAGGAGGCATTAGCCTCCTATGCCACTCAGGCTCCTTTCCCCTTTCCAAATGTTTATTTCCAATTGCAACGTGACTGGTTGTGTTTTCTTCTTTGGAAAAAATTACGACCATGTCTGATATATATCTATAGTAACAGATAGTATGAGAAAGTGTGTTTTTCTGTGTGTGTGTGTGTGTGTGTGTGTGTGAGAGAGAGAGAGATGAGGGAAAAGAGACACAAAGAGAGTGAATGACTGAGTGACCGCCTGAACAAGCTCACACATTTTTCTTGGCAACATTTTTAGAAGTGGCTTGCACTGCTTCTTCTGAAGTTGAAAGAAAGTGGCTGGCCCCAAGACATCCGACAGCATGAAGGCAGGACTAGAACTCATGTCCTCCAGGTTTCTGGTCCTGAGGCCTTTACCACTGCATCAATGTGTCTTTCTTCTGTAGCTAGAAACATAGTACAGGTAGTTCTGGACTTATGACCACAACGGAGTGCAACATTTCTGTTGTTAGACGGGATATTTGTGAAGTGAGTTCTGCTCACTTCACATTCTTGCCACCGTTGTTAAGCAAATCACTGCATTTGTTAAGTTCATCACATGGTTGCCAGCACATCTGGCTTCCCCATTGACTCTGCTTATCAGGTCACCAAAGGGGATCACGTGACCCCAGGACACCGCGGCCATCGTAAATATGAGTCAGTGTCCAAGCATCTGAGTTTTGATCACGTGACCACGGGGATGCTGCAACAGTCATGTGTGTGAAAAACGGCCCCAAGTCACTTTTTTTTCCAGTGCCATTTTAACTTTGAACGGTCACTAAGTGAAGTCGAGGACTCCCTGTACAACATTCCAGAGAGCCATTTTAACCATGTGACTTTCTAGCAATCTAAATAGATCTGCACCCTGTAGACCCTGTTTTTTTTCCTGTTCACTGACCGAAACAAACTGGCCACCTGTTCCCTTACCTGTTCTGTTGAGTCTTGCCATGTTCAGCATTGCTTCTTGATAAGCAAGTTCCACGTCTTCTTGGGTCACAACCAGCTTGATTTTATTCCATTTTTCTGGCTAAGGCACAGAAGGAAAGAGAAAGGCTACATACAGCTATATTGTGGAATTTTAGGGTTTTTTTTTTCTACAGTTACTTCTTATCCTTTCCTGATAACCTTAGGATGGGATTTGACACTTATAGTATAGTAGTATAGCCTTTATTGTCATTGTACATCATATATACAACGAAATTGGTTATTAGCAGCATGCTAGCATAACCTTTTAACTGAATACTCAAGATTTCTTTCTTGGTTGCACACCAATTCAAGCTCATCAATCGAATCAATCAATCAAATTAATATTTGAACAGCATTAAGTGCCAATTCTCCCAACTTGAAAAAATCCTTTGAAGCACTTCCTGCTGCATTTTGATTTTCACTATCTGATCAGCCACAAACTTTTAGTAGCATCTGAAACAGAGTTTCAGAATGTTTTTATTTCCAGTTACACAACAAATTTCTAAGGGCAAACTAGAAAAACAGGGTTATCTTATTGCTTGTCTACACTTCCTCTTCTTCAATAAATTTTGCTCCAAGTACAATAAAAAGTATTTTTTTCTGAAACAGATTTCTACAGTCAATGTACATCCAGAAATTTGTTTTTACAATGACAACTTTCCATACATATATATAACCATATTCTAAGGTTATCTCCAGATATTTTATATATATATATATATATATATATGTGTGTGTGTGTGTGTGTGTGTGTGTGTACAGTTAATATCTCGGGTTTCTTCCCGTGTAATTGTAAACATATCCTTAAAAGGGTAGTAGCGACGTTTCGACGAAATCACATTCGTCATCTTCTGGCTGAAGTTCTCAGTTTGATTCTTATGGGCAAACTGTGTAATCGTAACTGATGTTTTTCTATGAAAAGAGGCAAAGGTGTATTCTGACTGGTTGACAGTGTTGTTGTATTCTGATTGGCTGATGATGTAGCTGTATTTTGATTGGGTGGAAGCACTGTTGCTTGGTTGTGGGTTAATGGATAAGTTATGCTGGAAATGGTGGCAACACAGGCATTATGATAAATCTTTGATCTATGGTTTATATTTTGTGTTAAGATTCGTCTGTCTATGAGAGCAGGTTTCCAAATAGTAGGCAGATGGGAAGTGTCATCACGTTTATTCATACAATATGGTCTTTTCTCTATTTCAATGGCCTCTCTGATTATTCTGCCATTGAGATGTTCTATTTTTGCAACTGTTTTTGTGTTATTAAAATTAATATTATGTCCTGTGGCATTTATGTGTTGTACTAATGATGATGTGTGTTCTTTCTTTTGTACTGAATTTTTATGTTCCTCGATGCGCACACTCATTCTTCTGTTGGTCTGTCCAATATATGTTGAGGGGCAGGAAGCGCACGGGATTTCATATATGCCTTGATCTTCTAATTCTATTTTGTCTTTAGGGTTTCTCAGAATAGACGATATCTTTCTATCTGTGCAAAATATGGTTTTGATGTTGTGTCTATATAATACTTTGCTAATTTTATCCGTTGTTCCTTTTATATAGGGCAAGATGGCTTTCCCATTGTTTTGTTCCTCTTGTTGATTTCTCTTCTGTCTGGGTGTTACATGCTGGATCATACTGATGATTTTATTTCTACAGAACCCATTTGATGTCAGTACGTTAGTTAATGTATATAATTCTGTTTGTAAATGTGCTTCATCAGCAAGACGTTTAGTTCTTGTGGTTAATGTTTTGGCAACAGAGTTTATTTGTGCTGGATGGTGATGTGATTTAGCGTTGAGATAGCGGTTTGTATCTGTCTTCTTTTGATAGATGGTATGTCCTAAGGTGCCATCAGATTTTTTACAAATTAATACATCAAGGAAAGGCAACTGATTTTCTGATTCTATCTCCATGGTGAACTTTATTTTGGGATGGAGGCTGTTCAAATATACTAAGAAGTTTTCCAGCTTATCTCTTCCATGCGGTTCATCATAATTATTATTATTATTTATTTTATTTCTATACCGCCCTTCTCCCGCAGGACTCAGGGCGGTGCACAGCCAAAATAAAACATTGTATACAAAATTTAAAAAACAATTTAAAAACAATTAAATAATTTTGGCCCAAATAATTTAAAACAACCCAAATTAAAACCGAATCAATTAAAACTGAGAGGACGGGATCAAGCCAGCCCAGCTAGATGGAATAAGTATGTTTTTAGGGCCTGACGAAAAGTCCGGAGGTCTGATATCGTGCGTAACTCAGGGGGTAGGTCGTTCCAGAGGGCTGGTGCTGCCACACCATAATGCCTGTGTTGCCACCATTTCCAGTATATATTTCTACAGAACCCATTTGATGTCAGTACATTAGTTAGTGTATATAATTCTGTTTGTAAATATAAAACATAAAATATAGATCAAGGGTTCATCAAAAGGCCTTGTATTGCCACAAGTTCCAGCCAAATCACATTCCAGCCAGCCACAAAGATGAAGCCCTGCCACCTGGTGGAGAAAAACCGACCATACACCCGAAGCCAAGCCAATAAACACAGACTGGGACTCCCAACCAATCAGAATGAAAAGGTGGAGCCATCCCAGAATACCAGCACCAGATTTGAAATAGTAACGGCAGTTACTGCAAAAGACCCTTCACATAAGCCTGATGATGGCAGATGAGATTCTGTCGAAACGTCGCTTCTACCCTTTTAGGGATATGTTCACAATTACACGGGAAGAAACCCGAAATATTAACTGTACACACACACACACACACACACACACACACACACACATATATGAAAATAATATAAACCAACAGAACAGGTTGGTATGAAATAAATTACATTTAGCCTACTTTGTTCAAAGTTTGGCATAGCTTTGTCACAGCTGCCCCTTTGTTGGATTTATATTTAAAGTGATTTACTTACGATGTCTAACCACTGATGGACAGCTACAGCTACTTGTGTTCCCAATGGTTTGGTTAACACCAGCACATCTCCCGGGACTGCATTATCTGGCCTAGAAGTAATGAACATATATTATTAAAAAGCACACATGCCATCATTATTTTTCAGTAATTATTCCACAAAGTTTATTCAATATTATCCAGAGATCTTATTTAGAATGAATACAACCAAAAAAGGCTCTCATTTAGTTACCACAAGTTATCTTTTTTCATGTATCCACAGATAATGATCAAGACTTACAAATATATAATGAAGATTATTGATAGATTTTTATCGGAGGCACATTGAATGCTAATATGACAATTTTGCCCTAAAAGGAAATTGTTACTAGTTTCAGTGTCTGTTACTCCTATAAGATTTTGTTGCCTTTATTTTAGACACTGAAAATTAGACAGATTTTCAGAGCTCGGATTTTTAACAGCTGGAATCATGAAATGATTTACAGTCACACTGTTTTTCCAACTTGGGTAAAATAGACCAGCTACCTACATGGTTCTCATCAGTGAACATATAGAAACTCAATATAACCACAGTATATTGTAGAACTGCTATCACAATGAGTTCTAAAGTTATCACTGAAACTGTAACGTGTTAAATTTCATTTTGTTTTGTTTACAGCATTATTTTAATCCAAACACTGAATACTGCAAATCAAAGTTGACTGTTTGGCATCCTGTATGAGCCTGATCAAGTGTAACTTTTTAAACAAGTCACGATTAAATCAACTGTGTCTTTGCAAGATGAATGCTCTTAATAAATTTGCGAAGTTTCACCGGAAAAACATGCATTGTTATTAATCTCCCCAGTCCAGAGCCAAAGGCAAGCATTTAATTTCCTCAAAGTTAGCAACACATAAGAGAAACAATTCAGAATTTTAGAAGTAGCTACCTCTTTTAATACTTTCAGCACCTTTTCCTTGGCATAAAATGCTCCAACTTACATTATAAACTCATTAGGCTGACAGACAGTTGTGGCCACTCCTCCTAAAACAATCCAAGGGTTTAATACTGTTTGACCACCAGTCACTGATGTTCCTGCCTCTTCTGCAGCATCTTTAAATCCTTGGATAATTAGAGGCATGATTTTATCCCTTTCCTTCAGAGAAAAACAAAACAAAACAAAATCCAAGTAAGAAAAATCAATTGCCCAGTCAAGCATAATTTTTACAATTTTCAAAGACGGTAATATAAGCAAGAACAACTAATAATTGAAAGAACAGAGGTGGACAATTGGCAGATTCAGGATTACAGATGCTTGAAATACCATTTACTTGTATTGTGCAGATTAATGTTAATTTATAGGTTATATAGAATAACGTATTAGCATTTCTTATCATCACAATTAAAGGAACTTACCCTGTCTGTCATTTTATTACTGATACCAAGAAGCATCAACATATTGTCACATTCGGTGACTCCCATGGCATAAAGATCACTAAGGACATTGGCACATGCGATGCGTCCCTGGAAAAAGCAACACAAACGATTGTCATTGAACTGCTATTTTAATGCTTAACCTCCTTCCCAAGCTAACCTTAAAAAGAGACTGGGCGAGACCGAGAAATCTACCAACTGAAAATTGAAGTGGCAGATGGAAGAAGCAAGTGTAATGAATGAAAGAAATGAACAGAATTGCTATCGCTATTGTATTTAGTTCTTGTTGTATACTGAGCAGACTAAGCAATGCACCAATTTATTTATTTATTGGGATGCAAAAATGTTTTGACCATTAAAGCAATCTTAAACAGAACCCACAAGAAAACCAACAAACCTTGAAAAACAACATATGTAAAAAAAAAACGATTTGTTTTAAACAAAAAAACATTATCACAGGAATGTGCAAAGTATTTAAGCATACAGGGACAAACATTATCTCAGAACGGTTGCTTGAAAGGCTTTCTCAGACAGTGTGTAAATTCACTGCCCACATGACATCTCTCCTGGCACAGCAAAGCAGCTGTCCAAGGGAAACCACCAGAAAGGCAAGTGGTTGACACTAATATCCGTTGCAGAACATCCTCTGAACATTTTGCCCAGTCCTATGCTTCACCGGCCTTATCACAGATCAGATGCCCCCAAATTTTGGCATCAATAGTGATTTGCGGTAGTCAATAAGAGAGAGAAGTTAAGCACCAAGCAGAAATTCTCTGTATATTATTTTCCATTGGGTAAACTAATAAATTTTGATTTTTTAGTTGTTAAAACCTTTTGCTCTGAGTTTAGAAGAATGCAATAGAATATTACTGAATTCCTTACACAGTGGTACCTCAGTACTCATCATTATCTGGTTCCGGAAGGTACGATGAGTACCAACAATGCTGAGTACCAAACACATTTTTCCCATAAGGAGTAATGTACCATAGTGAGATTCACAAGGCAGCTGACAGCAACAACTTCTAGTTTGTGTGTTGCGTACCAAACAAACGATGAGTAGTGGGACAAATTTTTCACATCAAAATGCATTGAGTACCAAAGTTGATGAATTTCAAAGGAGTCGAGTATCAAGGTACCACTGTATAAGGCTATCATTCATTTAGTTAAGAGTAGAAATAATTTAAATGCTCAACCCAAGATCAGTCCCCAGCTGGGAAAAAGAAAGGAATTTCTTCAAAGGCCTGGTAGTTCTGGACAAAACCGAGAAAGACTAAACCAAAGCCAGGTGAAATTGATAGTCTGACATCCATCCCCATTCCTCCAGAGTTCTTATTTGACAAAAAGTGACCAACATCTTAAGGCATCTTACCATCATATAAGGGTCGTCGACAATGGGATAAATGTAGTCTGTTGTCTGGACCAAAGACAGACCTCCGTGTCTCAAAGGAATAACGCAAGTATCCATGCCAATCCCTGTAATAAAAGTAACTCGCTTTATTTTTCAGAATATTGGCCTGTTCTTGTAATTGCCTTTCTAGTTCTACATATTCCTAGCAGACAGGGTAATCCGAACTGTGCATATCCTGTGTGACTCTATTTGAAAAATTGCTGAATGAATGTTCGTAAATTGAGAACTACCTGTATCTGGAATGTTAAATTAAAAGACAATAGATGGTTTTGGTTTTTAATAGTTTTTCACTTATCTGTCTCTAAGCCACATACACCAAAATCAGAAAAACACAAAAATAATTAACATGAATTAAATTCACCATTAGCAGGATGTATTAAAAAGAAAAGATTCCCATATTAAGATTAAAAATAAAAAAAAATACCCATAAAGATAAGAAGATTTATGCTAACAGCATTTTCATACATTAAGACAATAATCTGGCATATAAAAGCTTTTGGTTATAAAATAGAAAGTTAAGTTTTTTAAAATGTTATAGAATCCAACTTTTCTAATCGCTATTTGAAGCATAACTAAATGAAGCTTCTTTAGGACTGAGCCCAGACCACTAATCCTAGAGCAGTTTTGCTGACTGCCAATGTTCCCCTATGATTTTAGGCAGAATATTTTTTTTAAAGAGTGGAACATAGAGAGTTGAATCTCTATGTTCCACTCTTCATTAACGTGCATCGGAGACCCAAGAAATAATTATAACCAGTAAAATACAGTAAAAGGTATTCTTACCCAATCTTGGCATAACAGCCCCCAAAAACTGTTCATCTTCCTGGAAATGATTTTCTTGTAAAGATTCGAGCAATTTCTGCAAAATGTCCTGAGGCACTTTACAGCCAGTGCCTTTAAGTTCCGTGAATCGGGTTAACCGAAAACTTTTGTCAAGTTCGTAACTTTCTGGATTAAAGGACTCTCGAACAGACATGATTCTCACACTGTTAGTAACGGCAGATTTTCTTCTTCTTTGTGAAATAGGCAGGGTTGTTATCCTAGGTTTAAAAAAACAAACAAACATATGACATAAAAGTTGTCTTTTATGACAGTCGCATATTCTATATAAAAATGTGACCTCCCAACTGTTTTTGTATCGAAAATACATCAAAATTCTTTGTGAAACAGCCCATTAGATTTCATTTTGTCTGCTAAATTGTACAGTGACAATCTAGTGGAGTTAAATTGCCAATGAAACAACTGTGATCTTACTATATGTAATTACAAACTGATTTTTGTTCTTAATCTTTGCATTTGCAGTACACTACGGATAATTTAGAAATAAAAGGCCATATAAACACTTTGAAATTCCTTATGCAATACCTGTTCAAGCAGTAGACATTTTTCTTTTCAGTTAGCCTGTATGCGTTTTGTAGATGTTAATCCATGCCAAACTGTGATGGTTGAGATGAATTGTTGAGACCACTCCAAATATAGACCAAGACACCAACTGAATTTTAACTTAGTGCACGAATGTGGAATTATCAGGGGTTGACAGGGAAAAGAGCAATGAAGTCAGAGACAAATGAATTATTGATAGTCGCATCAGAATAATTCAGAAGTCTTATGATGTTTGTTAAAACATAAAAACAAAAATAGATATAAACCTAAACAGTCAAAGGTTCAAATATTGTATTTAATTCACACCTGCAGTTGAGGAACCATCCATACATTGTTTTTGTTTAAAATATTCCTGGTAACATTTTGTCTCCATGATAAGGACCACATCTATCATATCCTCTTCTCCATTCACACTGAGAATGCCTCATCAATAACATTTGGGTCTTGTCCAAGGTAAGTTTCAATTTGTTTACCTTACATGTATCCCACAATTTCAGTCATTTCAGGCATTTTTTTCCAAGCTTCTAGATTATTTCTTCCAGCGGTTTAAGTGAAATAAAGAATGCCCTGAAGGATGCCATTTGTATCAATTTGGGATCTATATCATCTATCAATAGGACTCAATTAATTTGCTACCCTAAATTCAGACAAGACAACAAGCTAGAATGGATCCAATTTGAAATGAATCCTGGAGAATCAATATTCTTCAAGACTATCTGAAAAATGACAGCTACCAGATGATTCTAGACCTTGATATCAAACAATATAGTGGCTACACCCATCTCTTATTACTTGAAACTAGGGCACTGGATATGAATAATTTTGTAAAATATTCTGTAACGGTAAGAGGCCAAACGGGTTTTCAAAACTGGAATGTTGAACCAATGGGCCAGCAATAAACAATTTGGAAAACTTCAACTAACTGTACATCAAATGGGGGCAGCAAATAAACTTTTCTTGCCACATTCTTAATGACAGTGAATGTGCTAACTGCCTCTTCAATTTGATTTTATTTGTTAGATCATCATTTTATCTGCCTTGCTGGCTTCTTTTCCTAATTTTTTTTTTTAAGTGGGGGAACGTGATCTAATCAGCTACAAACATAGTTGACAGATCATTCACTGAACACCAAAAAAATGCAAATACTTTGATCCCACATATTTTAGAGGTAGTTTGGAGACCACACAATGCTGCAGATTTCCCCCCCCCCCTTAATTTTGATGTTCTATGTTGTGAACTCTGCCAGTGTGTGGATAAAATAAATGTGTACGGCTTTTGGATACTGTTTATTCAATCACTGTTAAGTCTGAATGCTTAACAATTCTCTTTTCTGTAGTGAGTTGTAGTAAAATATTTGAAATAATTAATCCCTATTCATCAATTAGAAACCACTATCACCCAAACATTGAGTCCCCAATGAATATATTTTGCTATTACGGTTATGATTGTGAAAAGATCCTTTGTATGTGAGTTTGGAGAACCAGACAAGCATAGAATACCCAGGGAAAACAATGAACATTAATGGCTAGGTCTGACTGCTTCAGGCAGGACCACAAGTAATATCTAACTGGAGCCTGTATCAAGATTGCTATTGATGTCTCCCCTAGATAAAACTGTTCCAGAGCACCACAAACTCTGGCCTGGCAGAAACACTACTCAGTTATGGGTCCCTGGCCAAATATATAAATAGATGTAACTCTATTATTGCAAATTAAAAGTCTGAATGAACATTACACTGCAGATTAGTTCTGGCAATCAATGAGTTACTATTTTGTGTCAATAACTGCTTACATGAACAATTTGTTTCATTTTACAATCAGAGGGGGAAAACATTTTTCTTAAACACAAGATCGTTACTTTCTGGTTCGCTGAAGTAGCTCACATAAATAGGTATTTGTAAAAATAAGTGATTAGTTGAACATCAAAATAATCTCCCAATACTTGTGAATTTAGTAATCACATACTTTAATTAAATTCAATTAAAACTCCTTCCAATAAATGTCAGAGTTGTAAAATGCTTGAAACCACAATCACAGAAATGTTTAGAAGAAAATGTTACTGAGTTGCACCAGGTAAATTGGTAAAAGAACACAATTGAAATAATTCAATGAAGAAAGTGATACTTGTAATCAAACTATATTTGGTACTGTTGTATTATTTAAGCTTATATTTTCCTCCAAAAAATATCCAATCTCCATTACTACCTAAAATATTACCATTATCTTATTATGTTATTAAATAACTAAATAGTTATATGTTTGATATATTCTGCAACCAGCGATGGATGCAAGGGCCGGATGCCCTACCTGAACACATGCTGAAATTTTAATATTATTTCTGAACAGATACATTACATTCAATATGAATTTAAAACAAAGTCAGAGCTTAATACATTATAAGAGGCCAGTTAAATCAAAGAGAAAATTACATAAAAGATTACATTGAACTGGATCATGGCACGGTACAGCTGACATTTTAACATCTCAAGACTAATAAACAGGAGCAATATTTTAACCATTTTCTTCTCTTTCCAAATGAGGCACCACCATTTCTTTACAAAACACTCCAGATAAGCAAGCTATTCACGATCTTCCTTACAGACTTATGAGATCAATGGAGCTTCTAGGCATTATACATGTGCAATATTACACACAAACACATCAGGAATGTAACAAAATTTTGGAGAGATGACTACAAAATTCCAAGCGTGTCATCCTGGCTCTTTGGAAAAGCCATGAAATTAAACAGAAAGTTTTTCCAGCCAAATGAAGGGTGGAGACACCAGCGCTGAGCTTATATAATTTTGGCTAAAATGTACATTAGAGGAACCCAAGCGAACCAGGCCCCAAAGGTGCTTTTCTTCCAAAAGACAATGGGATTTTCTTGTTTCTTTTTCCTTGAAAATGTTTTCAGTTCAGTTCGATTGGGATGTCTATGGAGATTCTCAGTCATCCAGAGGTCATGGCTGTCCCAAAGGTGCTTTTTTTTTTTTACAAAAGGCAACTGGACTTTGCTTTCCTTTTTTTTAAAACAGAAGTTTAGAACTGAAGAAGCTTCTTGGATTAGAAGCAAAGTGTTTTCAAGAAAAAAAAAAAAGAACCAAGAAAGTCCGGTACAGGTACGATCACGGTTGAGCCCAACATTTCTGTTGCTAAGTGAGACATTTGTTAAGTGAATTTTGTCCCATGTTACCACCTTTCTTGCCACAGCTGTTAAGTGAAATCACTGCAGCTGTTGGTAGCACGGTTGTTAAGTGAGTCTGGCTTCCCCACTGCTTGCCAGAAGGTTGCAAAGGGGGATCGAATGACCCGGGGACATTGCAACTGTCATAAATATGAGTCAGTTGCCAAGCGTTTGAATTTCTATCACATGACCATGGGGATGCTGCAATGGTTCTGTGAAAAACGATCCCGCGTTCCTTCTTTCAGTGCTGTTGTATCTTTGAACGGTCTCTAAACAAACTATTGTAAGTTGAGGACTAACTGCATTTGCCTTCATTCGCAAGGAAGTCCAGTTGCCTTTTGGAAAAAAGCACCTTTGAGACAACCATGACCTGGATGATTGAGACTCTCTATAGGCATCCCAATTGACTGAATTGAACTGAATTGAAGCTTCAATAATCTAACCTCACGGTTAGATTATTGCAACGCGCTCTACATGGGGCTACCCTTGAAAAGTGTTCGGAGACTACAGTTGGTCCAGAACGCAGCCGCTTGAGCTGTCGTGGGTGCACCTAGGTACACCCACATTACACCAATTCTCCGCAAGCTGGACTGGCTCCCTATTGGTCTCCGGTCACAATTCAAGGTGTTGGTTACTACCTTTAAAGCCCTACATGGCTCAGGGCCAGGTTATCTTCGAGACTGCCTTCTGCCGCATAGCTCCCAGCGACCGGTAAGATCCCACAGAGTTGGTCTCCTCCAGGTCCCGTCAGCTAAATAATGCCGGCTGGCGGGCCCGCGGGGGAGGGCCTTCTCTGTGGCTGCCCCAGCTCTCTGGAACCAGTTACCTCCTGAGATCTGGACTACCCCCACCCTATTGGCCTGGGGGTGAAGACCTGGCTTTTCCGGCAGGCCTGGGGCCGTTGATCTCGCTCTTGTGATTTGGCAAGATCCGGCCATGAAATGGTGTGAATGAGTTTTTAATGTTTTTAATTTTTCAATGTTTTTTATAATGATTTTTAAAAATGTATTGTGAGCTGCCCTGAGTCTTCGGAGAGGGGCGGCATACAAATCAAATTAAATTAAATTAAATTAATCTTGGCTGAGAACATTTTCAAGAAAAACCTCCAAAGAAAGTCAATTTGCCTTTTGGAACAAAAGCAGAATAGAATAGAAATAGAAAGCAGAATAGAAATATAACAAGAATAGAAAAGAATACGGAGGAAAATAGAATAGAAAATATGGAACAGACTAGAAAGGAAAATAGAAGAGAATAGTTGGAAGGGACCTCGTGGGTCATCTAGTCCAACCCCGAGCTCCAGCAGGAGACCTCTGAGACCACCAGGGCCTGGAGGACGGAGATTCTCCATAGACCAGGCAAAGGTGGGTTTCTTCTGGTCAGTCCCAATTGCAGCAGCCCAGCCGGTCGTGTTCCCACGACCCGCTTACTCCGGAGTCGCTCCGAAGCAAGAGCCAGGCTGGAAGTGGCTCTTGCCTGCCTTTCGGGGAAGCGGGAAGCCCAGCAGCCCGGAGCCCAACCGAGGGCGGCAGAAACCCCTTCCCTCCCTCCCATCCCAGCCGCCTTCCCGCCTTCTTCCTGGCCCGGCCGGCGGAGTGGGCGGAGCTTCGGACCCTCGCTCCTCCCTCCCCCCCGAGGGGCGTGGCCGCGGCGGAGAAAGAGCGACGCGAAGCCAGACCAGGCTCGCGCTCCGGGCGTTCCAGGCGCACTGCGCACGCGCGGGGCCTCCCGCTCTCGCCTCCCCCCCCCCCCCGTCGGGGGGGGGCGGGGGGGGTGAGGGGAAAAAAAAAAAAAGAAAGATGTCGGCGAGCGGAAAGATTAACCTCTTCCCCTCCGGAGGCGGCCAAGATTTTTTTTTTTTTTAAAGGAGCGCCTTGTTTTAAGGGGCCCCTCCGGGCTTTCCTCACACACGCCCCCCACCGGGCTTTCCCGCGCGTTTCCCACCCCCCCCACCCCACCCTGGGGGGAGCGCCCCTTCCCCTTTAAAGCGCCCCCCCCCCCCCCCCCCCCCCCCCCCCCCCCCCCCCCGCGGCCTTCTCCTTACCGCGTCTCGGCTGCTCTCCCGCCCGCCGACGGGACTCCCCGCGCCGCTCCGGCTTGCCCCCCACTCCGTCCCACAATGCACCGGGGCGCCTGGCCGGCCCCGGCTCGCGCTCGCCCTCTCCCCTCAGCGCCGCCTCAGTCGCAGGAGGAGAGGGGGGGGGCGAGAGAGAGAGAGAGAAAGGCGAGAAAAGAGCGTCGGGGCGGGCACGAGGGGGTTAATTTTCTCCGCCTCCTTCCCCTCCCTCAAACGGCCGAGAGGGAGGGAGGGGGGGGGGACAAGAGACTTAACGGCTGAGCCCGAGTGCCGCTTCGGAGGGAGGGCGCCGCCCCCCTCCCTGCGCACGCGCACGCACGGACACGCGCGCGCGCAGGGCCCCCCTGCCGCCCGAGGGCGCCTGCGCAGGAAAAAAGGCGGGAAACGCTGAGGCGGCTCGGGCTTGGGAAGGGCGGGGCGGAGCAAAGGCGGGCGCCTCAGGGGAGACTTTCTCCTCCTCACACACACACACACGCACACAAACCCCGCCCCGCTTTCTGCGCGGATGGGAGGCCTCCAGGTGATCCTGGGCTTCTAATTGCAACTGAGGAGGGGGAATAATAATAATAATAATAATAATAATAATAATAATAATAATAATAATAGTCAGCCCTCGGCTTTCCACCACAATGGAGAGCCCTGTCTTTATGTCCCTAAGCGAGACGCCTTTCTTTTTTTGCACCATTTTGCGACTTC